AAAGAATATATTGAATGACGTTTGGAGAAGCAACGATGCAAGAGATTAATTTTGTTTACTGAAAATGTTCACAAAATTTATGTATTTAAGACCTTAAAGTCAAGTTTTCCATCATTCCATTTAATCACATGTTAAACGCATAGAAAAACAGTATTTGTCTAAAACCTGAACAAAATATAGACGGTGAACTTTCACAAATTATGAATATATTTTTTACAGACAGCTTCTACAAGCCTTTGGCGCCGTCATTTATACATATATAGCTGTTCTGTCACACGATTTTTACTATACGCCTACACTACTATGTAATGCGACATGCAATAGTTGGATAAAAAAATAATGCGTTGTAATAAAATCATGATTTTAATTAAGTAACCAATACTAGATAGGATTCGGTCGCTATTTTAAACCAAGAAAGAGGATATATCATATAGGATATATTTTTAATTAAACTTACTTTACATTTCGATAAAACACGGTCACCTTACTCATGGTATCGGCATTCCATTACAAGAAAGTTCAATCAAAGCGAACGACGTGGAAAAGAAAACAGGAAAAGCAATTATGCCGAGACGCCATGGAATGTTATGGAAGGAATAGAACTATTTAACGGGCATTCTCGATTTCTACCGACTTCAACGTCTTTCAATATCCTTCAGTACTTCCCTCTCCTATCTTTTTAACCCGAAGATAAATATTTTATATTTATTGACAAAACAAAAATCGTGATCAAATTTCATTACTTACTATGAATGAACGTATTAGAATTTACAAATAAAAATTATTGAAATTGTATTTTATATGTAAAGCTATTTAGCTCATTGTATCATAATATAAACTATATAAATTATTGTCACACATTTTTTTTTCATATTTATGGAAATTTCGGGTATTCGTAATCAGGTAGGGAATAAGAGAATATAAGTAACAATTACATATATGAGCTTCCATTAAATATTCTACAGTTTAATACTACTTATTGTAGTGCTACTAAACTTTAAATAATCTTAAATCTGTTTTACAACAGATTAGTTTGTTATATCAAACGACCCTGTCTTTATTGATACAAGGACGTGCGATATTTTATTATCTGATAGACATCAATAACTTTTTTATATTTACCGTAAATGTTCAGAATTGATTTCCATCGATTTCGATAATATAATATATTACGATATTTGGATTTTTTTTTATTGTTTAGCGATAAAAAAACAATTCGTTTAAGTCATTAATTTCTCAATTTGCCCCCAAAAATTTACTTAATTTAAAATTGATGAGTGAATTGTCGAATATCATAATAAAAAAGTCTACAAATAACTGAAAGTTAAAATTGTTTCTTATTTTTTCTAAATCAATTTCATTTCGGATACATTTTTTAATAATTTTTGTATTTTAAACTTAAGGGATAAAAAAAAATCAATAGTATAGAGTTTAAGTTTTTTTTAAGGTCGCTGAAAGTGTAAAAATAGATTATCTATATTTGAATAATATGTAAAAATATGTATTTTTTTTAAATTTTAAAATTACAAAAAATCTGTTAGGCTACTTCCATACATTTATCAAAATTTAAATCTTTACTTTATTTTATATGAAATCACTTTCTCCGTCAAGTTTCACTAGTTGTTTGACAACTTCTTTATGACAACTGTTACTCAACAACAGCTGATTTATTTAATTACTGACATCAAGATACTCTGTGGCATATACCTTCAAAAGTTCATACCGGAAATATTTTGCATTTGAATCTAAAATTACTATAAATAATTTAATTACAATTGTTAATTTGGTACATCAATTAAGAAATAATTCTGCAGCGCAGTATCAAATAAAATATTTTTCAAATTATTGTTTGTTTCAACTGAGTCAACAAAAAATATATATTCCGCCAGTTACTATTTAAAAAAAATTGCCCTGTAAGTTTTACTTTTTGCGTTATCCCTTGCCTAATTTGAGACAATATGTAGAATGTAACTCAATTTGTTTCAGCAAAATTAAATTTAAATCACAATATTGAATACTATTTATTAATCAACATGCAATTTATATTATAAGATATGCAATTATAAATTCGTTAGCATTATGATTAATGAGACAAGACAGTATTACGAATCTCAGAGACTGATCACTTCTAATCAATTGGTATATTACAACACAACAGGAAGCGCATCACCTAATCAATATAATCTATTTAGGAATATTCTGCCAACACGAAACTTTTATGCAATGAAAGTTTTACATAAGTGGAGTATGAAATCTATAATTGTTAATACAGTTCTATCTTGGAATCTCAAAATTTGGTAACAATAACGTCTAACGGTTTTATTATCCGTAACTAATAATTTGCAGTAACCGTACATGGAGTGTTATATTTTTATACGCTGATAGAAAAGAAGCTTGTTAAGGATTCTCTATATCTTATTTGCCATTTCTTTGTATGTATTTTTAGTATCACTGAATACGAATTGAAGTATAGGAATAATAAAAACTATAGTTTTAACAAAATACAAACAATACCAATGAAAAGTTGACTATTTTCACTAAGCAGTTATTGTAAGATGAGCAATACATAATCCAAGGCAAATGTGAATTTTGTATAAGAATTATCTGATTTTAACAAAAGCTTTGCAGGGATTACTAGGACCTATTAAAAATTAAACTTAAGAAAACAAGACGTAAAAACTTGTGGAGAGATCATAACGAACGGTGTTCTGGAGTTTTTGCTTCTATATTGATTTTAATTTTACATAGTAACGTTATTAAAAGTTAAAGTTTGGTTTAAAATCTAGTTTTTCCATTGGTGGATATTTTGGTTCATCTCTTTCTAGAATAGTACTGATTGGTTAGTTGGAGTGTAGATGGACAGATGGATTGGTTTACAGAATAATTTGGATATATATCCTCAGTGTAATTGATTGATTGAACTGCACAGTAATCCACGGTCCGGATTTCAGACTGATTGATAGACTGGTCTGCAGACTGGTAATTAGTTTGATTTTCAGGCAATATAGATCAGTTGGTAGACTAATCTATTGACTGGTTGGTAGACTGATCAAGGAAGAAATCTGCGACTTGTTAGTGGATTTATTTACAGATTTATATTTTTTATATGAAAATTTTTAACAAACATCTACTTAAGTATTGTTTTTTATTATTAAATTTCAATGAAGGATTATTGTAAAAATAGATCTTTCAATATTTACCTATAACGATTTGATCAATGAACAGTAATTTCTGGATTAATTTACAGTTACATTATAAGCGTTCGTCTTTTATCCTAGAAAATAAAGGTTTTTTTATTTTTATTTATCTGAGACAGAAACTTTGTTTATTAATTTGAATTTGTTTTGAGATTCATATTTCAATACATAATATGTATTAATAATGAAGGAGCCATGCAGCGGCAATAATTCGTATAATACAGGTTGACTGGTGAATTACTATCGATACTTGAGGACGTGATATTTGACGATCATAAATGACAAAATAAAAATTAATATAACATAAATATTAATAAACTTCTAAGTAAAGTTAACCAAAAGTTATGTAATTAATTACGCATCGTGTGAACACCCTACAGATTAGGTATACACACACACACATAGGCGTGCGGCGGCGTGGTGTTGTATCAGCACGCCACCGCACCCGTCCACACTTGGAACACTTGGAACGTGTCCACACTTAATTTATTTATACGGAAATTTGGTCAAAAATTAAGTACCTATTTTTTTTCATAATTCGAATGAGAATCATGTACCGAGTATTCCTCCTTAAATATTGATAGTAATTCACCAGTCACCCTGTATATTTTCTCCTTCTGGCTCAAATGTCACTCCAATCTTTACTACACTGTTTGAAACGTATAAAGACCGTAACCGTATAAAACGGTATAAAATATATCTTCAAAATTCAAATTTAATCTTCAAAATAAATATACAATAATTATGTTTCATTTGTCCATAAAATGACTTACATTTTCTGAATACAGGACTTTTCCTGATATACGTTTTAATAGTCACCTAATCTAATCATAGAATAAATATTGCTTCATGTGCAATAATATTACAACCTCCTTGTATGCATGCGCTCGTAAATCATAAGTATTAGTTCTTAAATTTCATATGTTTTTCATTGAAAACACTTTTCAAATTACCTATACTAATAATTTGACATTGTATGAGCATTTCAGTATTTTTAACTATCGCTATTGGAGGTCCTATAGTATAGATATAATTTTATTTATAAGATACAATATCTGTATTTTATCTAGAGATTATCTCGTTTGTTTTTTATGCAACTGTGAAATATAAATTTACTAAATTAAATATATTTTTTTAAGCCAACTATAGCTATGAATAGCTAGTAATGTATAGTGAGGGAAAAAAAATCCTTCTATTCTATTATTCATAAATACTCATAGCTCATTACGACCAAAATATAAATAAAATCACATCATTCTTTGTTTAGATTTGAGATGACGCATTAATTAAAAGAAAACCGTAGAAACACATTCATAATTAACAACTGTAGAAAATCTCAAATTATAAATAATTATATGGTTTTTTGCATGCATTACTTAAATCATATGATTTTTTTTATATGTAATTTCAGAGTTAACTTACTTATTTAATTAAAACTTTGATAGGAAACGCAGTTTTATTTAATAAAATCAAAACATATACATATACATCTATTACTGTTTGAAATGCGAGGTTTTTTTTAATTATGTATATTCTAAATAAATCTACTATCACTCATGACTAAAAGGTCATATCCTTAACTGTGAATAGGAAGTATCAGTATGTTCATAAATATTGTAACTTATCATTGCCATATAAAAATATTATTTAAAAAAAATACCCATAAACTTGTAGTAAAGATATCCAAAATCTATACACACTTCACTCAACAAAACACATCACAACTTCAATATTATATATAAATAATAACGCACAACGAAAAACTTTTTCCAAAAAGCGACGCGTGCGTTAATTTTTTCTCAGTTATAAAAAAGGCGCTTTAAATCCGAATCCCATGTCTGTCGAGTCGGAAGCGACATAACGCACTGACGTGAACAGAACGCCGCGACTCTGACAGAGAAATGCAGGGGCGTCGGATATAATGCGATGGCCCTCTGTAATTTTCCGCTTATTAGAAAATTCATATTCAGAAACTAAATGACTTTCATTTGTCGCTATAATCAAAGTGTAGTTAGCGTTATTGTTACATACCTTAGAAGTTATAAGCAATCAAATGTTGAAGCCATTAGTTTGGTATAAATATAAAGCGTAGTGTTGGGATTGCATTTTTTGTTCAATACAAGTTCTAAGATGCAGCCCTAGTGTAGATTGCAGTGCAGACAATAGACAGTAGACAACGCCGGTGTCTGATATGAATCGCATACAGTTCATATCCGATATCCAGACTCGCAATGAGCTCTTTATACCGTGGTATAGTTTCGACTGCATTGCGGGATTTTGCATCCATGATAAATAAAGCGACTTTTGTTGTATGACGAAATGATAGTGACAGGTGTTACTAAAATAATATTTTAATTATATCTTAACAAGGTGATGGTCGGTTTAACTAGTTTTTTTCTTTCCTTGATAATTCTCAGCTAACTATCCATAGCTTTTACATTATATCAATTCTAATCATAATAATTCTCATAATAATAAACAATTATGGAATCAACAACTGTCTTATATCTAAGATATTTTCAATACTTTATGCCCTATTATTAATTTATATAAAAAGTACTAATTTGAACACAATCTGATTCATATTTAAAGTTGCCAAATTGGCATACGGAGCACTCAATCAACAAGATTGATTCGACACTCGGATGACAATTCGTAATACCAATTCGGGAAGAAAAAACGGAAAATCCAGAAATGCAAGATAAATATTTAACATTGAAAATCTCTCTCCTCTCATGAATTGTAATGACATAACTGCGTTGTGTTTTGTAGACAAAACAAATAAATAGTAAATATTTATTTAAGCGTATGATACATCGAGTAAGTCATCAAATGTTTCACTATGTGTGGTTTTCCTTGTTACAGAATCGGATGGATTTATTGACGTTTTTATCATAACTCCAGTATTCTATATAATAAGAGGATGTTCCTTATATTATAAATATGTATTGAATAAAGGGAAAAACGAAGGTCAGAATAAATTATTGAATTCGTTCATTAATTATATAGAAATCAGTTGGACTGTTCTTGAGGCAGATTGATACACCCACACATAATAGATGTTTATCTTGTTACTGAGTAACTTAATTTATGATTGTAAAAAACGAATTTGACAATTAATACGATATTTTATTTTATTTTCATTATATAAAATACGTCACCAAATAATGTTGGAGATACATATATATTGTGCCCTTTTATTTGAGGGGAGAGCGTACTGTATCGATGGAATGAATATTTAATATTTGACAGTCAACAGATTCACGAACAGTGTGTATGTATAAATGATTTTTCGTCGCTTTTTTGTGATATTTTCAATAGTTATGTTGTTATTTGGACGATGAAATATAGGTACAATAAATCAAATCCATGGAAATCGGTTTAAACGTTCCTGAGTTAAAATTGTTTAACTTCCAAGACTTTATACATGCATGTTTATTACGTTATGAAAAGAGACAAAATTATAATCCTAACAACACGAAATTTGGAACAAACTCGTAATTATTCTATATTGTTGTTTAAAAAGAAATACTCAAATTATTTGACTAACATTTAAATAACTTTCTGTGCTATAATCTTAGTTATAATTATCAAAACCTAAATATCATTAGTATGTTTTAAATTAAGAGATTTTTCTTGACATAATAAAGATATCTGTTAAATTCTTCCTATACAGACGATACCAACTATGTTCGACATTACAAAGTACAGAAAACCCAATACTAATCCGTCGTGCTAAATAATTTTTTGGAACAATAATTCCCGCATGCCGCATGCATTGTTAACCACAATCTATAGTGTATGCTATTGTAATATATGCTTTATGTGTACTATAATAAAGGCTACATAATGATTCTTTGTTTCATTAGGCATGTATTAATATTCAGGTCGGACGTCGGCAGCGTTTATAGGAACCGATGTGTAAGCCTCTACACTCGTTGAATTAGTTTGACCACAATGACTCATTACACCCTAACACTGTACTGTACTGTTATTATAAGCGTTCTAATGATGTAAAAAATATAATTTTCGTTGATACGCCATTACAGAGATCGCTACCGTACCTAATTGACAGAATGTTGTAGCTTGAACGTCACCTCAAATATTTTAGTAAAAAGCGAAACAAAAAATATAACTCGTTACCAAATTAGAAATGCTGTTTCTCTTCTCGAATTCAGCTACATCTATTTTTGAAACCGTCAATACATTCCTTGTTTAATATTCCCGATATTCTAGGAATATTTGAAATATAAATTTCGACTTCAAATAGTAATAACTTGTTTATGTACATCGTATAACAAACAAGTATCCGGCTCTAAAAATAATTGAAACTCGTCAGCAATATAAAATATAAAATTTAATAATTAACAAAACTGTAGTTTAAGGGTAAGTTTAGTTTATTTTTAATTACCAGAACTATTGACACAATATTGGAAACGCTTCAAGGAAGCAATGTCAATTAAAAACGGCCGGGCCCTAATTGTGTCCATTTGATTCGATTGCGCCAGACGGGGAAGGGCTGTGGTACCGGCTAGTACGCGATAAAAAGTCTGGTGCTTTCTAACTAGAAATGGACTGAGAGACAGTATCAATAATAACGTATAGATGTTTAAAAATGTTTAATAGGTAGTTATATACAAATAGATGATGACTAGAAAAATAGTACATAGAACAATCACAGTAATAAACAATATGTGCAATCATTCATTTAACCACATATACTAGTCGTATTTGTGTTATTATTTATCGTTTCTTGTCCAATGTCAATAGTTTTATATGACCCATAAAATGTCTAAAGTCTAAACAGATTTTCATGCGAATTAAGCCATAATGTTAGATAATAACGTTCAGAAGTATGCAGTTGATGCATGAAGCTGGTTGTAATCGATTGGCACCGGATGGGTGCGCAAGCGTCACATCGAATCCATTATCGTTGCACACAGGGTTGATACACAAACATACATAATCTATTCTAGTTTGATATCACTAACAAATTTATTATATTAATTAACAAATATGTAGTGTTCACGTTGCAAACGAGTAAGACTTTTAACAAGAAAAAATATGATGTACCCACTGCGATATTATGAGTGTGAACCCTGGATCTCCCTAAGTAATTTAAAAATGTCACCATTTGTTACAAAATGCCAGCTAATCGTAATGTCATGGCTAATAATGCACTGATGATTAAAACTGTCATTTAAGAGTATACAATAAAAGCAGGTCAGATAAATAATAACATTTAAAAAAATATATCATGTGTGAAAAATTGAAATCTTATTGTAAAATTGAAATAAAACTTAAGCTTCAAAAGTACGCCCTCTAGCGTGAGGTAGCGACATCGCAATAGCTATAGCAAACTAGTTACCGTAATAATAGATGGCATTGGTTCAAATCGTTCCGTAGACTTTTAACACTAGATGGCGTTGTATTATTATAATAATTCTTACCTTGTGATGGTAGGGCCCGTAATGAAACTGCATCTTCTTCGATCTCGTCCTCTGCTTCTTCTTCTGTAATCGAAGGAGGAGCCGCCCAGCATCTTAATCTGACTCCATTTCCGACGTTAGTGCCGCCATCTATTCTCACTCGGGGTAAACTGCGCGTGGCGTATTCCCCGTTATTATTGGATGCCTAAAGAAAATACATTAAAAGATTAAATAACGCCCTATTCGGAATAAGTTACAACACTTGTTTGGATATCAATTGTACCTCATCTTGTTTGTCAAAGTTAAGAGATCCTATTATAGAAGTTTATTATAAGTTATTACTTGTCCTTAGATAAGAAGCTTCTATTTACGGCCACAGACTAGACTCTAGAGTGTGATTATGTATTGAATATGTCCAAGTATAAAACATATTAATTACGGCCTTTACAATCAAAGGAGTTTCGTATAAGTTACAATAAAACTCAATATTCTGACGATATTATACATATATTAAATTATAAAGAATTAGAGGCGCAGTTACTTAAGTAGGTACTATTTTATGAAAGAAATGAAATTAATTTATTTTAAAGAATCGGATAACTCATATCTTAATAGAAAATTTAAGCTTCAACTCCTTTGTTAACGAAAATAAGTACAGAAATTGCGGAGTGAAAAGTACATATGTAACAGCAAGAAAAGAAATAATCAAGAGATGTACTTAAATAATGATACAAATATATATTTTATACATATATACATATCTATATAACGAGGTGGTATAAAAAGTATTAGGTATAGGAAGAAAACAGCAAGAGATTTAAGTTAATAAGAACAAATTTTTCATAGATTTTAATTTTATTCCGACCCTACAAATTAATCCATCACGGACCACGTAATCCATACATACTTCCTCATAGTATAAATGTTTGCACATGCATAAACAGTATTACGGGATCATGCGCAATGATAACGTCATTTGATCCCTTCAATATAAATTAAAACAATAATTACAGTATTTGTTCCCACGTCCTTCTATCTCCTTTCCAATGTGGCCTGATTCACTTCAATAATGTTTGCGCTGAATGTTATCGCACCTAGCATAACGCTATCAATGGTGTATTCTTAAAGTATGTTGAATGTTAAGCAACCCACAATTAAGGGATCAAAACAACCAAATACCTGCTCAGTATAAGACATATTAGTAACTAGCATTCCGCCCGCAGCTTCGCCCGCGTGGAGTTCGGTTATATCGCGTTTCCAAGAGAACCTTTCAAAAGTCTGGGATAAAAACTATCCTATGTTCTTTCTCAAGGTCAACTCTATATCTGTACCAAATTTCATTAAAATCAGTTCAGTGTTTTAAGCGTAACAGACAGACAGAGTTACTTTCGCATTTATAATATTAGTAGGGATAATTGAAAACAGACTGATCTCTGAAGATATATATACTACCTTATTATAAAACGTACTTACTCATTCAATTAGACCTATTGTAGTTCCGAATATAATATACTTATGTTTCAGTAAAACAAGATACATCAAATACATATTAGGTACATATTCAATATTATAGAATATTAAATCCTTTACACATATAACAAAGCACTCAAACAGAAATGCATGCAAACCAATAAAACTTAAGTGTGAGAGCGCGTTAAGTGAGTGATGTCTAAAACGAATCCAAACGAGCGTGGCCCAATTACACGATGGTTACAACAAAACAGTATAAAGGGAACAGACGGACGGACAAACAAAGAGAATTAACGTGTAACAAGCTATTAATAGGCGGGAGAAAGCGGCGCTTACGAAAAATATCTGCCATGGTTTATTACTAACGAAATATATTAAAAAACAAAGCTACACTTAACACTGATTAAGCGAAAACTATAGGTAGTATATTGTAATATTGATAATTTCTTATAACATATAATGTAATCGTATGTATGTTAAATATATTTAATTTTACTATATGATCGGAACTAAATAATAAAAATGTGTACTTTATATAGTAACTAGATAGTATGATAGAATGATGTCACTTAAATTATGTGATCTCAAAGCAAAATTGAGGTCATAGCAATTAATTGAGCCTCAATAATGATACCGTCTTTCTATTTACGCATACTGTTTGTAAAGCTATTATTATTGAAGACCATTACTAATAAAAACTAAGGGAAATTAGAAGTAAATAGTTTATTTAAGTCTTGTTATGTATACATTTATATGTTAATAGGTTTTCGATATAAAAACATCGATGTAGGTCATCTTTTAACTCTGAAAATGGTGTCAACCATTAGTCAAGCATTTGCCAACAGCTGCTCCTTAACAGCAGACTTAAAAATAACATTTTAAAGGCCTGTACTAACCTAAAATACCTTACTTTATCAGTCGATTCATAAAAATTGGGCATTATTTAAACGGTTTATTGGTTTTAAACATTGTTCAGTTATCGTAGTTTTTTAAATTACGGAAACTACTTCAGATTTATAAAACTATTTAATGACTAACGAACGAACTTAACGTCTTAGTCATGCCTAGTGATTGTATAACAAAAACACGCGTAAGGAGATTGTGTTTGTGACCCTTAGTTATAATGCTATTAATTTGATACTCCTCTTAATACTTCAACTTATATTAATAAACTGGATTCTAATATTATAAAAACCAATAAATTATCGAATAGAATTCTATAGGTAAATCTCTTTAAGTTCTTTTTGAAAGTGAACCTTAAAAACTACTCGTCTTCTACATATATAAAAGTATAATGATAGTGACATTAAATACATATATCGTTAAGTTATAAAACAGGATAACACTTTATTCATATATTCTAAACAAAACATGAAAGCACGGGGTCCATACAAATGCTAATTCAATGAATCCACATAGACCTCCATAGAAACGATCTTTTGTTTGCAATCATACTTGAGGTGCACAGACAAAAGGTGTCTACAGTATTAATACATTCTAATGCACACGTGCAGTTACGATAAGTTGGAAATAATAATGTAAAATGAAATAAAGAATTAATAAATAATATATTTGTTCTGGAGCGCCTTAATTTATGTTATAGCAAATTATTTCCAGTTTCAATTAAACTAAAAAAAGTTACTTATCGCCTTAACCGTACTGAATTGTAATGTGATTTTCATTTTATATATATAATATAGTGACTTCGGTTCGTTCATAAAAACTGAGTCTGTAGACTAAACTCAATGACTAATAACAAGTTAGGCGCCAGAAACTCTTTCTGACAATTCTTTTTTCGAAGGTAAAGAGATTATTTTATTAAACTTTACGACGATTTACTATTGAAAAGTATAATGTTCGATCAATATAAAATCATAATGGATAATTAGTAATTTTATATGAAAGACACATTCATAACAGGACCCCACAGGATATTATTTTAGGGCGTTGTAAATAACTTGGACATAAAAACGAACGATCCCGACAATTATAGCTTTCAAGTAATGACCGCCTCTTGGTACGCTACTTGGCAATCTAAACATCAAATTACAATGTTACATGGGCACTTCGAAATATTTACATGCGGTGAACAGAAGCTATGTTACTCGAAAATCTTTACTAAATGTTTGCAAGATAAAATAGGATACGTAGAGTGTCCTGTTTCATAATATATTAAAATCTGCGATGATTTTCGAATATAAAATTTTAAGTAATATCAAATTTTACTATGGACTTGTAGTAAGTGTATTAAGCAAGTTCACCGACACGTGATTCAAAGTTTACTTCGTTATTCTCTCGTTATCTTTGTATGTGGATGTAACGCTTCGAAGCCGTTATACTATTTAAATACATACACAATTTGCACTTCTCTATGTGCTACCACATGTTGATGAGAACGCACTCGCGTGTGGTCTCTCATTAACGAGAGGATTCACTGTTTAATGTATTATTTACTATGTCATAGCTTAAAAATGTTAAGTCCAAATCCAGAGAACTAATGAATAAGCCTCATATAGTTGTTTTAATTAAAAATATACAGCATGTTCTTAGAATGTTACCGAAATAAATATACGGTGAATGACATCAGTCAATGTGGTTTAATTTAGGACACATGTTGTGTTGGACAGTTTTGAGAATCTGGACTGCTTATAATAAATGTCATACATTTTATTTATGACTATATATACATACATATATGTAAATGTATATTGTACACACTCACTATGGTTAATAACTTATGTTTAATGACACGCGAATGAGAAGATTTTTTGCCAATACAAATAACTAAGACCTCCAGAAAATTCTGTCATTTTTATATATCGATAATCTAATTCAGACATTTACTTTCGAAATATTTGGAGAATTAAATCAAAACGAACCTTACTCACATAATATTTTGGTGCATATTTCTTTAAACTGTTATTATCTACGAACGAATTACGAAAATGATTTATATCGATGCTAACTACAATGAATAATGTAAGGAAAATTTAATAGGTGAGTACAATTTACTAAATTATTGTACCTTTAGCACAAGTTTGAATGGAAAGATGGAAACTCTTGGTATGTAGTGTGATGTTATTTAGCCATGGGTAAAAACTACAAAGCAGGGACAGGTGCAATATTATGTATTTCATACAAACAGTACTCGCTTTGATTAGAGCCGTACCATATCGAAACAATGACTCACGGACTCCACAATGGGATAACAAAAACGAATGCGTTCAACAAAACATACCAAACTATATTAAGTTTACAAAACATCTAATACGAATGAATCTTACCTTGTAGTCCAAATAGAAGCCAGGAAACGACTGCATGTAAAAATAAAATTAATGTTTTAATACAAATCAAGTAATAAAAATGTATGTTGATGCTAAAGAATTTCATAGGAATTTATATTTTGTGTTGTTGATCAAGTAATTCTAAGTGTTAACATTTAAATTTCGACATTGGCTATTCGCATAGCGTGAGGACTGGAGACTTCCAAGTCAATTAACATCGCTTTTACTGGGAATCGATAAAAGATCACTCTTCCGTAGTCCTAAGTGAGCGTTGTGCTTTTAGAAACAGATGAATCACGATTTTTTCCCTTTCTTTGAAACCACAATTGACGTTAAATTCGATAGTATACAAAAAATACATAATCATTATTCTTGTTACTTTTCTATGTTTTTTATTCTTATTGTGCTTTAAACGCTTATTAACATGGACAGTTAATAAAAAAAAAATTGAGGACTAAAGTAAGCCGAAATAAAGTTTATACTAGAGTTAAGTAAAGACTACTTTTAAATCAATCTCACTTAATATTGTACATACTCTATATATCATATTTATTTATTAATCTGTTATGTTTTTTTATAAAACCTTTTACTGGTTGCCATTTATATATTGTTCACATGACTGGTATTTGCAACTTCATGTGTATAAATGTATTCATTCAACTTAAGTATTTAATAAACGCAATCATATAACAAACATTTATATAAAATAAATAATCGCATAAATAACGTAATATATATTTGCTTTATAATATTTATTACGAACGTTCTAATAACAAAGTGATTACTTTAATACGAGTTGTTTGTCAAATGTATTACTATCAGTTGTGATGAATGACAGAAGAAGAAACTGTCAGTTTTAAGTTAGTGTTATAACTAGTACTAAGGGTAGTGGTATATTCAGGAAACTATCGTTACGCCTACATACAGCCGATCTTTATCCCGATACGTTCAAAGATCGTGGGCACTATTTATTCTGACGATAACTAATTTTATGACGAGAAGTCTTGTCATTAAAATTGTGAAAGTTTTAACATCTTGATGATAGGTTAATTATAATTCTTGTAAAATAGCAAGTTTTTAATGGTATCATTTCATGGTTTTAACTATAACTCTTAGTCCAAGTCAGCAGCATTACTATGTATGGAATGATAAACATTTTTTCATTCAGAAATCTTATCACATTATATTATTTGCGTAGTTTAGTGTATGAGAAACAGGAAATGTTTCGTATGAGGTGCATGTATAATTATTTTAAGTATTTACTCCTCAGTTTATTAGAAATATACATATTTATGTATCATAAAGTTGAAAAATACGTCAAAACCCTTTATGTGATAAGAACTCAGTTATTTTTATATTATTTATACTCTCTAAACTTTTTGTTCAATCGAATTTTGGACTCTATGTTCTTAATTGCGACGAAAATTGTAATCTAACTAAAAAGTAAAAACACCATAACAAAAAAAATAACAATCGAAACTTTCAAGAAAATATAAATTGCAACAAAAACTAGGAAAGCGAATCTATTGACCTAAAACAGCCCAATTATAGGTGAGAAAGAAAATAAATTAGTGTTCATTTTTATTTTGCAGTATCATGCGATGCGTTACTTAGTGAAATTTATTATACTAATGATCATATTTTGTTCGTAGGCCTTGGTTTGTTTGTATTTTGCAGACATGAGAATGAACAAATCGTTTTAAAAAGGCCTACATCAGTACTAGATTTATGTATAGTGAAATAGTTCCAGTGTTACGCTCTATTGATGTCAGATATAATTACCTTCGCGTCCGGTTTATGTAATGTTACAAAATATGATACGCATGTCATATTTATTATATATATTGATTATTACGACTATACTTTATTTCGTATTATGTAATTCATTAAATAATAATTGATTTAAAATGTAGTACGGAAGTAGATAAATGCTTTAGGGTGTACGATGTTAGAGAGAAAAAGGATAGAGAAAAAGCAAAAGAAATTATAGAAAAGTAATAAATAATTTTATGATTCAATGGAAATATCAAAATTACAATATTTGAATACAACAAAAAATCATAAATGAAATAAAATCTAAAATACCTATATATAGAAAAGATCCTATATGATAAAAATTTGAGAACCTTTCCATTCTTTCTATATCAAGTACCAGGATATCATAAAGTGAAGGATACTCACAGCGAGTTCTTCGCTGATGTAAGCTGTCAGCGTGCGACGATCCTGTTGTAACACGCAGTAGAATGGTTCCCATGAGAGAGGCACTCCTGTTGATGCACCACTAACAGCTGTGCTTGCTGCATCTGATGAAAAGACAAACAATACATTAAAAATCATTACCTACAAGCAATTACTTGACTTTGATTGAATGTACGTAGAGAATAAAAGAGATTTCACTATCATTTCATTTGTAATATTCAAGCCACATTGAATACATAAAGCCGTTTTCTAAAACACTTTGTATTATTAATTAAATTGCCGCCATTAAAAACACAGTCACCATTATAAACATTCATTGCTATACTATATAGATAATTAAATGTGATTAGGTTCACTTCATACAGACTATGTCCCGCATAATTTAATGGCTAAGCTATTTGAGGCGAAGTAACAGGTGTTCTAACTGTTTATAATAAGTTTAACTTAACAAGACCCATAAGCGTAAGCCGATTATATAAATGGTTATAACATTTTTACCCTCCATACAAATTGTATGGAAAATGGAATATTTTATGCTATCTTCTTCTTCTACCTGGCAATTTCCCAGTTTTGGCTAATTGTTTTTACGACCGGCCGCCTGCCCGACATCAACCCTCTTTGGGAATGCATTAATCAGTGATGTCTAAATACTCTTAGAAATTACATATGACTCGGAAAAATCACATTGGTACTTGCCAGAAGCCAGGTTAGAACCGGCGCCCTCATGCACAAGAGGCGGGCCTTTTGACCACTAGGCCAACACTGACTACAAATTATATGGAAAATGGAATATTTCATGTTATGTGACCCTTTAAATGTCTACATATATATGAAGACAAGCAAAGAAATTATTTTGTTAAGTTCATAGTTTAAAGGTATTTTGAATATTATTATTTAAAAGTCAGTTGCGGTAAAACTCCAAGGTTGCTGTGAAATAAAACACGTCTTGTTCAATAAGCGATTGCATTACAATATTACAGTGTACAGGATATTGCTAATAAATACCGTAACAAAACTGTTAATGAGGTCCTGCCAATAAAAATCAGCTGTATACATATTAATAATATTTGAATAATACTTTTAAAAGACTAAAGACATATTAGCGGCATTAGCGATTTAGTCCACTTTGTTTGCTAGATTAAGATGCTTGCGAATTTATAAGAACACACTGAAAAGATAATGCTTATAACATTTATTTTTCTAAAAAATATTGTTATTTATAATTTTACATTTAATTTATGTATGTTACAATATTAAGTAAAGGGTCAAATGTCCAAGTAAGAAGAGGAATAACAAAAAAATTTCAAGTAATTTATACGCAAATCTATTTAAGCATTTGTTTTTCTAAATATATTTTTTTAAATACATTATCTTTTGGAATTGAAACATTTTATTATTTTTGTGAGATATGTCACTAATATTTGAGAAAGACACTACAATTACTCTAGTATTGTTAGATTTTGATTTAACGAGATCATATGTCCCAATATTCACCGTAACTAAGAGAAAAAACATATTGAAATTACGAATATAAACTTTCTAAATATAACAATGTTAGTTTATTAAATAAAAGTCACATATAGCGTACAATGGACGCAATTGGAGTATGTAGTTATTCAGCTAATAAAGGAGTCATGACGAGCACGATGTAACTTGGATTAATGCGTTCCATCTATATTAATCTATTAAAATTATCATACAGCTGACAAAAAGAAAATTATATCAGAAATATATAAAAAAAAATACTGAATTTTTAAACGATCTTATTTATATTTCCTGCTTGAATGGATAAATAGGAGTAAGGCGTAATTTTTAATGGAAATAAACAGCATTTATACTCTTACTAGCTTTCCGCCCGCAGCTTCGCCGCGTGGAATTCGGTTATATCGCGTTTCCAAGAGAACCTTTCAAAAGTCTGGGATAAAAACTATCCTATGTTCTTTCTCAAGGTCAACTCTATCTCTGTACCGAATTTCATTAAAATCAGTTCAGTGGTTTAGGCGTGAAAGCGTAGCAGACAGACAGACAGACAGACAGACAGAGTTACTTTCGCATTTATAATATTAGTAGGGATTCTTATTGATTTTTTTTTCTACATAAAGAGTCAAGTTCAGGTATCTTAATACAATACCATATAAAATAAAACTATGACAGATTTTGCCGACCGTACATAATAAAAACGATGCAACGGATATGTAAATTAAAATTTATCTCAACACTCGAGACTTCTTTGTTGTACGCGGACGACATCATTAATGAGAGTTATATCTATTAATTATTATAACAAGCTATCAAGCTTACTTCGCGAATAAAGTTAAGCCTTACAGATAAAATAGTTAAAATTTAAACTAACAATTTAGAATAATTTAACTATGCATGGTTGCGTATATTATCTGGCATTTATGGGGGTATAAAATGGAATCGACTCGTTGAAGCGGCCCGGGGCAATCTACGTCCATCTCAAGAAGCGGTCACGCGCGCTCAGTTTCCAACATCTAACATCCAACGAAATAGCCTCGAGACTAAAGAATTTAGCATTGTGAGTTTTAAAACATGCGTGTTACTACATTTAGTAATCTGTTGCTTCAAGTTTTGTATATATTTTATATATTAAAACGATACACATCGATAAAGTCTATAAAACGACGCTCAAACATTTTTAGAGAGAAAACTAATATGGTAATTTTGTAAAATATAAAAACTTATAAGTATGTATGTAAAACTTTTTATCTTCTTTCAATAAATAAAAGTAAAGATTCGGAGAGGATTTTCATAATTAATAAATGTTCTTGAGACAAAATAATATCAAAGAAATATACTTTTGTATCAATATTTATTTAAAACAAAGATTTTTTCATAAATCGAAAATGAAAACTAATTGCAATACTTTCAAACTTTAATTAAAGTTGTTGCGGGATAAAAAAAAATGAAACTAATATTTACTTTGAAATAATCATGAAATTTATGTCTATAGATTTTTTCAAATATTATATGATAATATCTTAAATAATATATTCTACGGGCGAGATATATACGTATTATATTACGAACATCGCTCACAAGTTGATACGAACAAGAAATACTTGTCTCTGTACGGTATAATAATTTTACGTGTGACGCTGACGCTGGGACGACTTGGAATGAATTTGATCAGATATTAATAAATAATTCTAATATCAAACATTGGTAACCGGTTTAAAGCACGTTGGATGAAAATCAACAAATTAAAACATTGACAACCTAGCACACTTCTTTTATTATATCCTTAGTACAAGTTAACAAAGTCACGCTACGTTTTCGCGTTAACAGTTTTACATTCATAAATCTTCTCACATATAGCATTTAAGTAGGCTATTGAATGAGAAACGGCTAAAACTTATGTGACGATCCAAACTTGGACTAAGCATACTGATCTCGCTTATAATATAATTCTACACATGTTTTAGCTGTTTGTTTAAGTGGAAAAATGTATACGTATTTCTATAAATAGCTCCGAAAATTATGAGAGGGTAAACCCAAGAAGTTCCTTACCATTGTCTATGAAAACAAGCAAAAAATTCATTTTCAATGATTTGTGGGAGACCTCTTCGACATTTTTTTTAGTATTTGTTATAACAGAAACAGGAATACATCACTTTTAAAATATTTCACCTGTCTATCACGGTTAATGAGATACAGTCTGGTTAGAGACAAACCGACGGAATGACAGACAGCAGCGTCATAGTAAAAAGGTCCCGATTTATCCTCTGGGTACGGAACCTTAAAAAGTAAAATTGATTTAAATGAAACTAATAGGTACCTATTTTCGGATTTTTACTTGGCGTTTTTATTTTTGATTATGAACTACATACTCCCGATGCTTCGGCTACTTTTCAACAACCGTGATAATAAGTAAAGTAAAAACCGTGATAAAAAGTAGCCGAAACGTCGGGAGTATGTAGTTCATAATCAAAAATAAAAACGCGAAGTAAAAATCCGAAAATATTAGTTACATTTAAATGAGTACTCGCGAAAATCTTAGATCTCATTAAAATTGATTTATTTCCTTATTGCCTATTTTTTTATTAAGTTCGTTTAAAACATTCGTAATTCGTTTAAAACAATTATATTATTAAATAACTTATGTTTGACATATGTGTAATGAAATTGATAATATTGCAGCTGTACAACAGTCATAGTGTGGATAATGTTGCCATTTACTATAATATGCATTTAATAACGACAATTAAATGCATTGGCAACATTCACACAGCATTTTAAACCGTAAACGGAGATATGAAATAGTATAATTTAATAATGTTTCAACTATTTACACTATAAAATTACTATTTAGTTTATTTTGTTTGTGGTATCGAATAAATTTTATTAGCAACAAGAAGAGTGGATTACGATCATAGAAACATTCGACTAAATTGCAAACCAATTCCAATTCTACAACTCGTATTTTGTTCAAATCAACAGATATTTCAAAATTGCGTTGATATTTACATATATATTTTTAAATGTCAAACGCAATTGCAATGTTATGTAATTGTTTGAATTGTTACTCTCACCTGAACCGGTTATGTTTACATTTTGTATAAAAATCGACGAAATTAAAAATTGCATTTGGAGGAAGTAAAATTTGCTTCCCGCATATAAGTATGTAAAGGCAATAATTTTTTTTTATTTTTTTTTTGTCAGTTACATTAGCTTTATACGCATAAAGGTATATTAAAATTTTAGTAATCATAAAAGATAATATTAAAAATGCTATCATATGTATGTTACTTTAAAAGATCGAACTACGGTAAATCCTAAAATTTTCTAGTATAACATAAGATTTACCAATTCTTAATAGTAAATTGCCAAAAAGGTATTATGTAGATTGGATTAGGTTAAGTGAAGTAGAGAATTTATAAATACCTAAAACCAACATTTACCATCTGACAGCAGTAAAACGTAGCATTAAATGTTTTAATATCGCAAAATCGTCTTATTTTCAACAATTACCAACTCGTTTTGGTAAATCGTAAGTTTTACTAGAAAAATTATGATTTTCCCTAGTTTAAACTTTTACAGTAACATCTACAAAGAGTTGGAAAGATTTAAAGATTACCTCCTT